GTATCTGTCTTTTTAACTTATGGTGAACCAAAATTAATCAATTAATTGTAATTACAGATCATCTCCCCAGACAATATTTTTTAATAGCCATTAGACATCAAGAGGTTTTTTCCCAAAGCTTTAACAGTTGCAAAACCTGTTGTACCTCTGGGGATGGAGTCATAGAGCAAGTCTACTGGTTTGTAGACTTTTAACGAAAACATGCCAGTGCTGCCATCTTCTGGACATTCTTGAACTACTAATGACGGAAAACCAGGATTGATTAACAAGGACGTTTCACGAGGGATGTGGGGAAAACGCCAAAGAATTAACTTTGGAAAAAAGTCCTGCTGTGGACTTTGATTCCATTCTTCTTAAAAACGCATTCGTGCTCACAAGCACACAGCTTTGTGAGCGTGTAGTGATGTCCCCGCATTAAATGCCATGTATGCCGAGGAATAGTCTGTGACCCGAAATTTTAACACACATTGCAGTTACCTTTTTTTGTGCTATTTAAAGAATTTAAATGGAATTCATTTTGCTTATGGAAACACACAATTTCCATGAAGGCATTTTAGATTTATTTGTCCTCATTTAAGGTATTTATTTGGGGGCCTGATTATTCAAAAATACATTTTCTCTCTGGGACACTGAAAGGTGAGAAGTGAACAGATCAGTCCAACCTGGAAAAAACCAAAACACTCTGCTTTATCTGAGTGAAAAGGAAAATATCCCTCCAGAGAAATGCTAGAAGCTCAGTTACGTGAATGACTAAAACAGGCGTGGTGTGGCTTTTCAGGAGGAAAAATTCCTGCCCTCCCTTCTTGAGAATTAGATCCAAATTTTTGGTGCTTGCTACAGACAGTACACTAGTATTTCTGACAATGTGGGTGTTTCCTTCTGTTTTCAGCAAACAGCATTCCAGGAGAAAAACTTGGTGGAAAAATCAGTTAGTTCAAACTTTGTAGGTGTCATTTAGTTCAGAGAATAGCTATCCCTGACAAACTGCTTTGGGGAGTGTATTAATATCCTACAAAAAAACCACGGCAAATTTAATTGTATGGATGTTTGCTGTGACAAGGAAACAATGCCTCCCTACCCACCACTAAACCCTTACACAGTAGGAAGGAATTTGGTTCCTATTGACATGCTGGGTCATGGTGGAATGGCAGAAGGGCTTATAGTCTCACCTTCCTCATGTATTAGTGACTACAAGGCTATGGTGACCTGCTCTATACAGTAGTTACAGATTGTTACGGGTTTCAGTGTTGCAGCCTAGCACAGGTTTAGTTCTGGTGTCTTGCCTATCATCCTGAAATACCAGTAAAATGAGTCTGACCTATTCACAACTATTGCTGCTACTAGCTGTCATTTACATATTCATCATAATTTTTTATCTGTCTTTGTAAACGTACTTCTTGAAATGGAAAAATTATAAAACTTTGTGTAGTACTCTGACAATAAAATTAGAAAAAAAAGACATACTCCAGCAATATAACTAGAAACAAGACATTTAATTTAAATAAAAAAACTTTATTAACAATGTAAAACGTTTAATATCTTACAGTCTGAGATCATTCTGGCATGCCCTATAAGAGTTAATACTTAGTGATATGCAAACACCATGCTTTGAATTCTATTGGAAACAAAATGGGTTGGTGTTGTGTTTTACATTGTTTATTTTAATACACCTTCTTTTAATAAATTATTTATTTTTTCCAAAAGCTTGTAGAGATACTATTGGCTTAAAAGGAAGTCTGTTGCTTCTATGCATTATACAGTATGTAGATATTATGATTTCTTTGTATTTACAAGTTCTAAGTATTTTCATATATGGTTTGTGTATCATAAATTAAGATATTTTTCTATGAAGCTTTTAAATTGAGATATAGTGGAAGACTAAATATGAATGACAGCACAAAAAGCAACTGGAGATTTTGTGCAAATTCTGTTACAATATTGTTTAAATGTTTTAGAACTTTAATACTTTTGCTGTTAAATAGTTTTCTATGCTTAAAGACTGTTAGAATATGATCGAGTATTTTAATATGATACTAATAAGAGTACTGTACTATGCACAAACTTTTAGCTGCAGTTCAAACAATAAAAAAACCTTTAAAATTATCTATTAACCATAACTCATGTGTCTTTTCTCTGAGTGGTTGAAAGTAAGCATGCAAAACATACTTTAAAAAGTATTAAAAACATTCTTAGTTATGCTAGATCTATTCCACAGCTGGTTTTTGACTGCCGTAACTTTAAAACCCTTATTTTGAAAAGGGGGATGGAGCATAAGAGAAAAAGGAACAGGCTAGTGTAGAAAATGTACTTTATAATCAAGAGTAGCAGTGTTCATCTTTTCAGTGATCAAATAATACTGGTTTAATCAAAGTTATGATTTTCTTGGTGCTTCTGTACTTAATCTTCTAACTTGAGACAAGACAACACAGTCCAAAGAATCTTCGCTTCCGTCTTCTTACCAATGGATACGGAGTCAAATTTAGGAGGCTGCTATCATCTGTGATGAAAAAACCCACATTTTAGTACAAGCGTATACACACGCACACACAGAGAAGAGTTTGTATCATTTATGTCTCCTAACAGCACCTACATGATCATAATAGATCCCATTGTTCCAGGCATAGAGCAAGTAATAAATACCTGAATTTTGTATATAAGAGTTTTACAATGCTAATTATCAGGATCTCCATGATAATGCAATAGAAATTTTGGCAAGAATAATACCAGTTCAATGATGAAACCTAAAGGAAATTACACCTCCAGTACTGGGAGACCTAAGCCACAATATTCCTGCATGGATGAATTATGTTAGGGTCCCAAATAAAACCTAAAGATAAGTAGCTTGAGATCTTGCAGACATGCAAGTTTGGAAATGTCGATCCTAAGGTTAAATTCTGGCTTAATTTAAACATAAAAAAACCTGTATTGGGTGGCTGTTTGTGCGCATCAGGGAGAATTTCCATTTAAAACTGGAACATCTTGGCACATCAGGAGAAAAAGCACTTGTCTGGGAAAGTCAGCAAAATATGCTCACCCTGTTTCTGGTTAGCTTCTTACCTTTTATATTAACTCCTTTTAAATTCATACAAAATGTATATATTAGTGCCTATACTCATGTTAACTCATGCACTGTCAGCGACCTATCTTGCAAAATCTTTAGAATTCACTTTGAATTTAAGCCATCTTCAGGCATGGTTTCAGGCTAAGAGCTATGTATGCCTCATTACGTTCCTATTCGGGTTACATCAGGGACCTAGTTTTGAATGTAGGCTCTAGACACTACTGTAATACAAATACTTAGCTGTAAGAACATAGGTAAGACATCATTTAATATTGTGACTCAAGCTTACGAACCACATCAACTAAATTTCTTAGCCTAGTAACTTTCCTGCTGTCACTTAAGAGAATTCCATACAAAAAACAGGTCTGTGAGCAGTCAGTAACATTATGTAAAACTTTTGTGGGCTTGCAACCTTAACTCCATTCTGGCTGTCACTGCTAAACTGAGCTTAACACTCACTCATTTACTGAAAGCTGGATCGGGTCTTGTAAAGATCAACTCATTCAATGGCATTCATTCATGTCATAATCATTCTCTTAACAGTGCTTGTGATTCATATACATGTCAAAATTACAGTCCAGACCATATTAATTACCTATAATGTTGTTTGTTTGTTCTATTTACTTAATTAACGGTCTTGGAAAATTTAAAAAATGTTAAGGGCTGCATGAATAATGAGTATGACTGTCCATTCCTCAAGCATCCATTCTCAGAGGTCATCTGTAAACTAGGATCACAGCTGGAGTCTATGGGAGCTGCAAAAACACCGTTTATGATTACCCAATCCTGGGGCATGTCTCAGAGCTTTTAAACTCTAGCTGACATGCTTCCCATCCAGCTGCACAGGTGATCAGTGATTTTCTGGCCAGTGTTGAAGGGCAGCATAGACATCAGACAGCATAGAAGAATTCTGTACGCCTTTATCTCTGTTCTGAATTCAAGTTTATGTATGCTTTATATCCCCCAAATTTGCCTTTTTCTTCCTTATTTCCACCATATTCCTTTCTTTTAGGCTAAGGCATAGACTTTACGGCATTTTTCCAGTCTCTACAATGGCACATCTGTATCATGTATCATAAGCAATTCTCTTTCTCCTTTCACATAGTTTTCCATCAAGCCATCCTGCCATGAACTCTTACTTGTATAATGAATTCATCCATTACATATTCATCTCTTACCATGTTATGATGAATGCTAGACTGCTTAATTACTTGGGACAAGATCTAGGACACATTAAGGCATACTTCATCAGCTGCCACTGTGCAAAGACTACACAGCATTTAAGAAATACACATTATCAAGAAGAAATCAAAAAGGAAAATAATTATCTTTTTAATGTTGTTCACATGAAGAGAGTCCCTGTAGATGCGGAATATTTAACACTGTTGGGCCACAAAATCAAGGCCCATTGCTAAATACATGCATAGGATGGAGATCCTGCCCCCCTGTGCATTTGTATAGGGTGCCTTATAGCTGGCTACTGGGAAAAGCAGACTGTTAGCAGACTCAAGGCAAGTGTCTTTTCTGCATAGGGTTAGTGCCATGTCATAGAAGCTACAAGCCTTGTAGCGGTAAAGCAAACCCCCTCACTCAGTAGGATCCCTATCGTAGTTTGTGCAATTTACACCTTCATTACTCTTTGAAAAAGAGAGCCTCCTGACACAGGGAATTAGTTGTGCTGCTGCCTTCATGTCACTGGGAAAAGTCTATTATTTTATCTATAGATACCATATCTGTAAAATTCCAGAATACTTCATGTAAAACTCGAGAGGCCAACGTTCACATACTAAATTCTGGCTCCACTGAATCAGTAGGGAAGAGATTTCACCTAGATTTTTCCTTTTGTAACGTCTATTAAAAAACCCTAGACTTTTCAGATATAATGGAAGGCAAACCCTTTAATTATCTTAATTTTCCTTACATGAAGAAAATACAAAACCTACCTTGATTTTTCAGTGGTAAAGGCATAGTCTCCCTGAGTTTACTTAAGAGGTTTTTCATTTCTCTCATATCTCTGTGGAAACAAAAGTTGAAAGAGATACAATAGAACAGCAGTTGAAGACTGAATGGGGAATGGCTCGTAGTATAGCTTTATATGCTGAAATAATGGAGCGATAAATACAAAAATCTACTGGGCAAGCATTTGGTTCACATACATCTATCAGAAAATACATACCAAAATAAAGGGCAGTAGATTTAATAAGGGAGCACTTTTAAGCCAGTCTGATATTAACTAGTCATATCTGGTCTAAATTTATGATCTATTCTGGCACTTGAGTATTCCATATTAAGTAAGTTTGGCGGGCACAATGTGATCCTAGTGGCAAAATACACAATATGCCTTAAAATTAGCACAAGCTTGTACTAATATCAACTTAATACCCCTTATCAGCATTTTGTAGCTTGTGCCATGAATGCGTTTCATTTTTCAGAAGGAAATTATAATACATGTAGCTAATCCATGACACTTAAGCTCCCTGCACATTAAGTGAAAATTTTGGAAACAGGGCTGTCACTCTCACCCCTCTTAGGAGGACTCTGGCATGAAATTTTCTAAAAGGCAGAAGATGGAAAATATGGTAACAAAATATCATCTCACAAAGCAAGTTACATTTAGATATGTTTTGAGAGAGGCCAGAAGTTGCAAAAAGGTTCCTGTTTTACAGATAGGTGGCAGACCAGCAATTTTGTGTGCAGGCTTGTAATGTCTTAAGGCTTTCAGGATTTAAAAACAATGTGGTCTTGCCTCATTCATCTACATGTAAAACAGTTCTTAGAAATGACGCAGCACGACTAATAAGAAATTGCTCAGTTTTATTCTCCAAGTTACTCTCTCAGTAGAACAGAACTTCATTTTATATAAATAAACATGATAACCGTTAAAATCTCAGCAGCAGCTTAATATACAAAGCCATCAAAATAGGGGTTTTTTTCAAAGAAATGTTGGCCATAAGGATTACTCCCTACTAAAGGGTCTCATTTTTGTCTTTCAACTGCGTAGTTAAGGAGGTAAGAGAAGTACACTTTGACAAACCTGTGGATGATGTTTCTCTCCCCTCCTACAGCTTCCACATTCGTAACTATGGGCAGAAAACAACTGACATGAACTAGATTCTATGCCTAACTGCAGGCCAGCAGGTTTCAGGTACAAAATCAGTAACCACTCAAGATGAGACAAAAGCTGCCTCTTTTAGAGAACCTGTCCCACTAGCAACATCATTTCCCACTCTTTGTTTTTGACAATTACCCTGTGGTAATTAGCCTAATTAAGGATGTCACTTTCCTCTGCCTTCTTTTAGGAGTTGCTCTCAGATATGTTAAATGTAACAGAAATGTTAACAGGTTATTTGATTTACTAATACCTTTAATAGTAGCAACACTGGCTGCCTAATTGGAAAAGACTAAATAAACCCTAGATGGAAATTTGTTTTGTTTTGTTTTGTTTAGGAATGAAGTGCTATACGTACCTTTCAGTGTTTTCAATATCTGTGGAAACCTGCCATAAATGCTGTTGAATATCTGTTGGTGATGATGACGTGTCTTCTAAAATAGGTACTTCGGAACTCTCCTCCACTTTAGTATCTAGGATCTTGGGTGGGGCACAAGGTTCTTTTCCTTTAAAATATTTAAACAAAACATATATCCCCATTATTTATTAATTAAAATGCATACTCAGATCATATCATTGATGTTTTGACCTTGATCTTGCACAGTATAATTGAAGAGAGAGAGTGGTGAATGCAAACTCTGAGTAAGAACTGTTCAGAAAGAGAGCAGACCACACCAATCTGCTAATCAGAGTGCTGCTGTATGTTACTCCTACCAAACAAAAGTAAGGCAAGTCCCACGCAGGCATGTGTGGAGCTTAGAATTTTACACAGTGAGTATTATGAAGGGTTTCAGTTAAACTCCATTGGCTCACATGTGACACAAAATAAGAGCCAGAGGACAAAACAAAACAGTAAGTAAGGAAACTACAGCATGCATTCTGAAAACAACTTCAAAAACTTTGACACTAAAGAACATTGCAATCCATGTCTCCTAGTATTACAGCAATTCAAAACAAAAGACAAAAATGTGCGGTTTTGTACTTGATGATCTTAAAAGCAATACACAGCTGCCACCACTCACAGCCCAATATGCATTATATTCTGCATTTCCATGCCTACACTTGCCTAATCCATGCTCACTGTATGAAAATGCAATGCAATGTTGGAATTTAAGGGGGCTTCAGGACAGATCTGCCAGGGCTTATCATCAGGGAGAGAGTGGGACAAAGGATTTGGACCATGACAGTGGAGCATGCAACAGAGTTAAGTACTGGTGGGATTTTTTGGTATCCTCGCAAACCTCCTGTGGACTGTCTGATGGTATTCCTTTTCTGTAGTGGCAAGTACAGTCCTAGCACCAAGTACATTTAAATGAGAAAATTCAAATTGGAGTGCGTCCCAGACACGTTATTGAGAAGTTAAAGTTTCTCCCCCTCTGAGTTCTCTCATGAAATGGAGTAAATAACCTCAGAAAGAAACGAATAAAACTTTCTAAAAATAGAGAAAAAAATGTCAATGTTTAAACCAGTGGTATGAGGAGTTGAGTAGGAAATGTTTTTTCATCTCACAGTTTTTGCAATTTGAAAAATTTTCACATCAGGACAAACCTGAGTAATTCCTATAAGGTTTGACAAAGAACAGGAAGAACAAGAACAGCTAACAGAGTACTGGTCATTTAGCCCCATTTTCTGGGACACTAGAGACCAAAGCTGCAGACCATGCTATATTGCTCTTCCACATCACTAATAAGTATCCCTGCTATCAGGCTTGTAACCTTGTTTTTTTGAAACAAGTGTTCCTGGATCTTAAGAAGCTCTTTTTGGGCAGGTTCTCTAAACTGTTGTATTCTGGTAAATTATTCCTCTGCTGAAAAAAAAATATTCTTAGCTACTTGTCTGAATGTCAAACTAGACATGACTTATACTACAGAAGATACTTGCTTAATGTTTTCATTACCCTCCAAAAACAATAGGAAGCCCTCTTCCCTGCTTCCCCCCCAACTAAGTCATCTAACTATGATTCCAAGAGATTGCACGACCTGATATTACAAGTTTATCATCTATAAAAGAATGATGCCCTGTGTCCGTCCTCTGCTGCTTACTTTGGCATCCACTGCTAACTTGTGCTTTGCTAGATCCCTCTGTGAGCCACTTTAACCCATCAAATGACAGAAAATTACCGCAACAAAAGGAAAAATAAAATGTGAAGTTTTCTGATGTTGCAGTCCTTTAAGTCAGGTCAGTAAAGAACCCTACGTGTTCCAGAGCAAGTGCCAGAGGAGGAGGATGATCATATGGCCAGAAGCAGTGGAAGGGAGGAAGAAGTGAAGGCATGATAAGGGAGGGAAGATAAGAGAGGAATGGATCAAGATCTTTCTGGTAATAACAAACTATTATGCTGACTCAATTGCTTGTGGAACAGCAGCCTAAGCCTGCTTCCCAGATCATATGTTTTACTCCGTTATCACTCTGTAGGTATAACTTTCAAATTTTTCTAGTTCTTAACTGCACGTTATGCTGTCATTTTAAGGTAGTTCATATTGTACAATTTTAATTGTTCATTTGTGTAACCTTCATTATTCATTATTTCTCCCATTACAAGAAGCCCATAACTCAATATACTGTTACCAATATCTCACTTACCACTTCTTTGTAAAAGACAGTTGCCCCAGGGAAACCATCTAATTTGCCACAAGGTATTACTGCTGGAACTGCATATTAGTTAATTTTTCCATTATTTTGAAGTGTTATCTTGGAACTCCGACCTGACCTTTGGTGACATGCTGTCAAGAACAATCCTGTCTATAGATGGATACTTCAGGGATGTGAAAGGTGTTTCAATGGAAACAATAACAATACTAGATGAAATAACAGAAAAGGTTCTTTTTCACAACTTGAGAACAGAAGCACTGAGACTGTATGTTCTTTTTGTTAGCTCAAAGGCAAGCTCTTGCAGGTTTAACAGAATGAATGGCACAGATTTCTTTTAAACTGAAAAAAGCTCTTTACCAGTAATTCTGTTGTACTGTGAACAATTCATGAAGCTGTTCCTGAATTTCAGAGCATCTGCTCAATCACTTTAAAACAGTAAAAGTGTCAGCTAACAATAAAGGCTTTGCTTGAATAATGTATATGACTCAGGCTTAACGTTTCTACTACATGGCACAGCCTGTAGAGAAACAAAAGCTCTTTAATCTTCTCATCCTTCTACTGGTGGTAAGGATATCTTTTGTATTACACATTCTTAAATTAGAGATATGAACCCTAAATTTTACTTTCAATTTAGTCAGTGGAAAGACTTTCATTAATTTCAGTTGGAGTTTGATCATGCATACAGTGTTTTCAGAGGCGTCCACATACGTTTGCTGCTCTTGCCAGTTGACTAGACAGAGGCTCTTTTTACTGTAAAATTTTAATATAAAGCATGATGTATTCTTTGTCTTCTAGCCTCTAATTCAGCTTTTTTTTTTTTTTTTACTTTAAGAAGCAGAAAAATGCCTTTGGTATGAAATTAAATTCACAGAATTAAATAATGCTGAAGATCAAACTTGAGTGAGGATAAATAAAAGGGTAGAAAATGATTAGTTCAGTAAGGCTCCATACAACATCTTTGATCACTGTGCTTTATGTGTCTTAGCTGTTGTGCTCTTTACTGCTTCTGTGGTGACCTCTGTGTTTGCTTCTGTCATGCTATCTTATGCACCTACTCTTAGTCATCACCTACTTCACAGAGAAACTTACATAGTGAAAAAAACATCTATTATAGGTCCCTCAGAGCTAGTTAGATTTCACCGCAGATGAATTTGAAAGATCTTTGAGGGGAGTAACAGAATATAACACAGCTGAGAGAACCCCGCTCTCAAAAAGAAGGCAGCATTTGCATCAGGCTTCTAACCTGGCAGTTAAGGATAAATGCACAAGCTATAGATCAGAGCTAAAGTAAATGAAAAGGAGAACATAAAAAGGGGAATAGGATAGAATTGTGTAGGAAGTAAAGAAGAAATGTGGCAAATATGGCTAACAGCCTGATGAACTTAATTCCTGACTTACACTTGGGACCTGAAGAACTCATGGGATTGTCTCACTGGAAATACTATTATTAAGGAAAATGCAGTAGGAACAACAAGTCTGTGGTAGAAGTTGTGTTTTCCTCCTTCCTTGCCTGTTTCTATTCTATTCATTTTGGCCTCTTCACAGTCTCCACATGAGAATGGGTGATTCTCCGGATTTTTTAAGTGCTTGTTTCTCCACACCTGTGTGCTTCTCTTCTCTCTCACAGCTTATCCCATTTGTGTAAGTAATATGTCTAAGTAATTACACAAATCTACCAGTCTTTAAATAGAATGCTGAGATTGTAGCACATCTGTTAAACAATCCTTCCTTTCTCCTTCAAAACTCTAAATAGCATGTAATTTAAACACAGCCAAATAAAACAAAAATCCCCTCACTGAATTGAGGGTTTATTTTTGTAATCTGTAATGTAAGCTATCACAGGCCTCTACGTACTATTTTAAGGAAATGTATGTTGTTATCACAAAACACATACTGGAAAAACAACAATTACGCTATGAACTTCTTGTATGGTACACGATACACAGTTATCTGTGGTTTGGTATCATTCTGATGTACCCACAATGCAGGAATGAGTTCAGTCTGAATTTACATCACAAAAGTCTAATGTTTTCTATCCATAGTATGTACACATGATTTTCCCGTAAGACTCAATTCTTCCCTTTTTTACCTAAGGATTCAGGTACCTACCACTCCGGTTAGTGCTGGTATCCTTCTGCCCTCAGCTATGCTTATACAAGTCAGATGGAGCCCACCCATCTCAATTACAGTGACTGAACTGTAATTTTTTCTTCAGGGCTTCCGAACAGGCTTGTGGTAAGAATAAACAATATGTAGTTTACAAGCATTAAGGTATTTTGCATCTTATTGTGAGAAATTATTCATGTATAAACACATGTTTTAGAAAAAAAGACACAGGAAAAAAAAGGACTTTGAGACAATTTCATACAAGCAACTGCAAGATTCTGGACTCATTTTTTCCCATAGATATTCAAATTCTAGTAAAATGATGAGAGCTATGTGTAAATGACTGACAGCAAGAATTACCCCTCCATGTGTGTATGGTTCTTTTTCAATAAGTTACAAAAAATATAGCCGGTTGTACTGATTCTGGACCATAAGAATAATACATTCTTAAAACTATACATGACCAGTGACTTATTTTATTCAAACTCAGCATAAATGGCTACCAGTTTCAAACCTTGTACTTCTTTGACAAGGTAGCTTTAACTTTAACTTAAGGTATTTTTACAGCATGTTTTGAACTCTGGAAAACACCTCCAGTTCCTTTTAACTGTCCCCTCTTGTCTTTGACTTGTTACATGGGTTTACTCCCGAATTATTAAAATGAGTGCCTTGCTCAAATGCTGCATAGCTAGCTAATAGAATGACTGCAATCTGCAATTTAGGATTTTAAAAAATATTTTCTAATATATGTAATTATATAACCAAACAAGTCAATTACATATGTAGATGATCCTAAGAAATTAATGGTTTCTATGTAAACATGTACAGACATTAAACTTCGGTAATGAGCACTTCCACAGTGACATGCTATAATGATCCAATAACAATATTTTACAGTTCCTTACAATGAAAGGAATATATTACTATTGTGGATATATGAATCAGCAAAGCTCTTTTATCTGTTACATTTACATATTAAAAATGCAATTAAGTTCTTTATAGGGTATCAATGAAAACTTTTGAACCCAAAATATTTATGGCTGAATACAGCAATGTATGCTGAAGTGTACTTAAGAACTCTGAGGTAGTTCTGGGTTTTCTCAGTGTGGGACCTTGACAACCTCAGTATTAATTTAGAAAAAGGGTAATCACATCCAGCAGCTTCCATGGACAGAAATTATGGCAACTACTTCTTCTAAGACCTTGCCAGCTAAGCTGGGACTTGTTTATGTAATCAAAAGAATAGTCATTGTTGGGAACATGCAATGTCAATATAGCAGACTGTCCTGTTTCCGGCTGGGACAGAGTTAACTTTCCTCCCAGTAGCTGGGGGTGGTGCTGTATTTTGGGTTTGGTAGGAGAGGAATGTTGATGGCCCATTGATGCTTTCATTGTTGCTGGGTGGTGCTTGCACTGAGGATTTTTCGGCCTCCCATGCTCTCCCAAGTGCAGGGGAAGCTGTCGGGGGGGAGCATAGCCGGGGCGGTTGACCCAGCTGGCCAGTGGGGTATTCTATACCATGTGACGTCATGCTCAGTATAAAAACCCGGGGGGGAAGGAGGGGGGGGCTTTCTCCCCGGGTTCGCGACACGCGGTCAGCAAGTGGTGAGCAGTTGCATTGTGCATCGCCTGCTTTCCATATTCTGTTGTTGTTGTTTTTATCATTATTACTGCTCTACTTTGTTTTATTTCCATTATTAAACTGTTTTTATCTCAACCCGCGAGTTTTCCCACTTGTGCCCTCCCGATTCTCTCCCCCATCCTACCGGAGGCAGGGGGGGGGAGCGAGCGGCTGCGTGGTGTTTAGTTGCTGCCTGGGGTTAAACCACGACATAGACATACAACATTTAAAGAAATTAGAGCTGAATTTTGTAAACACTTCAGAGAGGTACCTAGGCTCCTTCAGAATAGCTTATTTTCCATGAAACTCTGATTCAAATTTTAAAAGGTATTACTAGGTTTAAAAACTGGTTTTGACACTTCTCCCTAAGGCACAAAGCTATATAATTGTAATGATGGAGGGGAACAAATAAAGCAAAACCAAGAGGAGCAGAGAAGCTTCAGGTCCCAGGTAAGTGAACTCATCTGTTGCTTAGCAAAGTTTGAGACAGATGATTCTGCCAGAGTGTGATAATGATGCAGAAGGAAACTAGGTGAACAAATGCAGTGAGAAGTTTCAGAAGATTTCTTGGAAGAGCTGGAACATGAGCTGCCATCTGCCATATCTGCCCCAATAGGTATTTACTATAGTCACCCCCAATAGGTATTTGCTATGACAAAAGGGACAGCAAGATCCTTAAAGCCACCATGTTAGGGACTGCAGGAAGACACAGTGCTGCCCTGAAAACTGGACTCTATACCTACCCAAAGCTTTCATGTGATCCTATCAAGTTGCTTAAAACCAGCTCCTCAAAATAGTTATTGCCAAAGTATTTCTAATTATCTGGTTGCTCAACCCAGAGACTCTTTGCACTTAGCTGCAGATGAAGCTACTGAAAAATTACTCATTTATAAACCCATACAGCACTGCGTAAAGTACGCTGCAATCTCAGATTCTAAATTAGCAATCTTTAGCTTAATCTCTCTTTGTTCCTTCTTTACAATGGGAAAAATTGCTACTACCTCACTACTCAAGGCAGTTCTGAAGACACTCCCATCAGTGTATGAGTTACTGAGAAAGGTCTGAAGAACCGAAGGATTCTGCCTTGAGAACAGAATTGTGTGCAATAAATACAATGTAAGACACTGAACAATTAAGATAAAAGAAAGATGTATGCCCAAGTAAATATTTACATGTGTATTAGTTAGCCAGGACTCTTGGGATTGTGGAAAGGAGGAGTAATAGAATACGTGATCAGGTAACCAAAGATTTAGTAACTACAAAAAGCTTGAATTAAGGCTACTTGGGCATGTTTCACTGTGTCCTTTGCAAACTTTCTGAATGTTGAACTTTGCAATCATTATGTATTTTCAACACAGGTTTTTTGTGTTGTATGTGTCTTAGAAAAACATTTATTAGAGAGCACTTACCTCAGTTTACTTACTGCATAACACAGCTGGAAATATTTATGGCTTTTGGCTCCACTGTGACTGTTACATCTCAAGAAATAACAAACTATCTGACTCTTCTAGGAGAGGTTGTATGACAGTAGTAAGTTAATCTAAAGCACTGTAAATACACCAGAAATTTCTGTACAGGAAGCTTGGTATATACTATACAGTATATATAGGAATGTTTGTTCAGTAGAACAGAAGATAAGGAGAGATAGAAGATCAGTGCTGCGATAGACAGTGAAAATACCCAGAGCTCAGCCCTTCAAATTGTAGTGTGGTGTTTCATTAAAGAGCATGTTTCCCAGTAGGGACCACTGGCTGAATTTCTCTTGGGAAAAGAGCATCAGAACTGCCTTAGCTTTATCAGTTCTATAGTTTGTTTTATAATGTTCGGTCAAGATACCAGTACCCACATTATTCTTTATTAGCTGCAGGTTGCTGAGAACAGCGTGCATGTCATTCTACTTGAATCTCTGATGGCTCCCAAGTGAGAACATTAATTGGTGAAATCTCATGGGAGATGTAAAAACCTAACAAACCACTTATCTAACAGGTAAGAGGACTAGAAAATGGAAAATATTACATCCAAATGGAAAATATTACTTTCAAAAATGAGCTTCAAGACACAGCAAGAACATCAGACATGCACATTCATGAATTAAGCAAAGTTTCTAAGGGTAGTACTCTTCGTACACAAGGAAAACGATTCTTTTTTTTTAATATGGTCACCCAGATGGTGAAAAACCAGTGAAAAGCTAAACAGGTGAAGAAGTAAAAAAGCCACATACTAGCAACAGCACAATATATTTCATAATGGTGAAATTACCGGCTCTTTCATTCCTAGAGACAAATTTATGCACTTTGCCTACACTGTAGTACCATTCTACGTAAGTAAAGAAATTAAAGAAAGGTATGGGTTCATTCTACTCCTTGGAAAACAGTATGTTTTGGAAGAACATAGAATAAATAGGTTGCAAGGTCATCTAGTCTAACACCCTACTGAAAGCAAGGCCAACTTGCATGAGACTGCTCTGGGCTATTTGAGTTATCAATATCTCCAAGGATGGAGATTTCACAGCCGCTTTGGGTGCCTGTTCTAGAATATGACTACCTTCACTGTGAAAAAATACTTGACATGTAACTGGAATTTCTCTTGTTGCATGATGCCTTTACAATACTTCTAGGTGTTGTAAATACAAAGTATTTAATATACAGAAGCAATGTTCTATGGGCTAAGTTCCAAAATTCAAATCATTCAAATCCCTGTGATTATATAATTTTTGCCTATTATGAATTTTTCTCAAAGAATGTCACAGAAACTTGGAGCCAAGTTACTGTGGTTATCTCTGTATGGACACAGGACAAAAATTACTCTCTTTAGCAATGGCAGAATAGCTACCATGATTTTCTCTTCGGTGAGACGAGGAACCAATGTATATCAAAAGTACTGCCAGATAGGAACTAAGCTGGCCCATACATATAATGCTGTAATTCATCTTATCCAACTTTAGACGTCTAATAGTTTGATGTTTAGTTTAAGTTATTAATGTAGATTCCATCCAGAGGCAAAAGGGAGAGATAAGACATATCGGGGTTACTCAGGTCATTTCAAGCTACTTTCTTTCTGCAGTTACAGAAGGTGGTTTGACAACTGTAGCCAATGCTAGGAAATGTCGTACATCTGTCTTAAAAAATGACGATGCATTTTAGCAGCTACTGGCACCTTGTTGTTAATTCTATCTCTTCCTATCTTAGATTTCTTTTTGACTTGAGAAAACCACTGAGAAGCTCAGTTGAGCCGTTATAAACTTCTAATTCTTATTTTCGTAACAAAAATATCACTGGCTTTAGCAGTATCCTACAGCTGGATGTGAAAAATACATTATGGGATCTTTCAGCGTGACAGGAAATATGTAAGGTTCATTACAAGACAGTTCATTACAGAACTTTGTCTTGTCTTTACCTGGTATATTCTGCTGAGGTAGTATCTGGAGAAAAAGTACAATTAGCACAGATACAGTCCCAATCAGTGCATGCCATCACTGAGTTATGAGGTTACTAAGTAACCTATTCAGTGAATTATCTGCATTTCTACATCTTCCTTTCAGTCGGTGGCTAATCAAATACGAAATCATTAGAGAAATGCATTTTCACTGAAGCAAAGACATCTCCTTTGTGTGTAAAAATACTCTACGAGGTAGATTTCAGTTCTGAATCTAGTATCTAGTTTTATAACAGCTTTTTAACCATATTTATCCATCTTTTGCTATAAGCTGGCATTGCTGGATAAATAACAACAGGGATAGCAAGGGATCAGTTTAGTACTAAACCCCTGCCATACTGCTACACCAAACAGTTGCCCTCAAATATCATACCCAACAAATAGCTCTAATAAAATGACTGATGTGACTAACGACAGCTAAAACTTGTGGGACCACTCTTTTAAAAAAAAATTCAGACTTCTAAACTACAAGGACATTACTGATACATGCCTGATATGACACACTTCTGTAAAATGATGATAATGAAATAGAAATACAGCTTTTTTTTCAGTAGCTGAAAAGCTTCAGTGCTATAGTTCATTTTACAATTTGGTGCTTTGTCTTTCATGAATACCCATGCATGCCCCAAAAGACTGTTCTTTTTTTAAATCAGCATCTGTGTATTTGTGCAATTCAATACCTTTCCGATGAAACTGCAGTGATCCTAGCAGACACATGGACTTAAGCATTTCTGTTGTGTACATTTCTAAGCAACACTGCAACTGGATGTATAGTCTACAGATTTCAGGATGAATTTCACCATCTTCTGGTCTGCAGTAAAAGAGAAAAATTTGTTAGAAATGGGAGTGGAAGGATGTGAGGGTCATCAAATCCACTTCCCTGCTGTTGAAAGCAACCACATCATGATCTGCTCCATAAACTATTAAGCTATGTGATTATGATAAAAAACCTGTTTCTACCAAACTGTATTTACAAACAATCCTTTAACTCGATAAAGCTCTAGGCTTAAAACAGCTAAACTTGGTAAGATTGCATGTCTGTATTTTCTTCTCTACATATTTTTTGAAAAGGGGTAAATAAGTGATTGAGATCTTTTCTCCTCTTTAAAAGCTTTGGATAAGTATTTTCTGGTAGACTGAAGGGTTCTTTTGCCATCCAGTTTCAGTTACCCTCGGTCTGGTGCAGATGCAGGAGATTGCAGGGCCATTTTCACAGTCACTGTTCAGGTTACAAATCCTGGATCAGGCATAATCAACCCTACTTTGAAGACACTCTCATCAGAAACAAGTCAGTTGTAGTCTTTTGGTTCTATAGTTTCTGCCTGAGTTTCTTGGTTCCCCGTGTTTAAATCAGTAGTCATGTGATACTGCACTGTGAGGAGAATGGGATGTTCACGATTTTTTTCAGAGAAGTAATAACAATCTTGAAAACAAAAATTGAAATACACCGAATCACCTCCAATTAATTGCTTAGGACACTAAGAAAATAATTTACCGAGATCCAGGAACCAGTTCTCATGCCTGGCTGTAAAATCAGGTATTAAACCTCACTTTTGTAGGCTGAGAATGCTGCATGTGTGTAAACATACTTTTTTATAAACTTAACTGTTTCTGTGAGTGCTAACCAAGTGATTTACCTGAGAATTAGGTTTTTGATGCTCCTTCCAAAGGTACTTTCAATAGGGCAGTAAGTGGTAAGATTGAAGAGTTAGGGTTTCAGCCATTTCATGTTCAGACATTCTGGCTATTGGTTTGCTACGTAGCGATGTTAAACGGTAAGATAATCCCCCAAACTGGATTTTATAACAGCTAGAGGAACCTGTTTTTCTAAACAACCTGAACCTAATGGCATTTCTGAATACTACTGCTAAGAAATGAAAAAAAATTTTCAGCATGCCTTCAGATTTCTAGCCTATGAATAATATAAATGAAGCTTTCACAACAAAAAGATTGCTAGCATTCTTTCCAGTGATTGAATTTCCTGTGGTTAAACGCATGCTTCAAAAGACCCTCCTGTATATGAAATAAAATTAGACTTGTGGATTCCCTCATGGTACCAAAGCAACTTACCTGTTAAATTATTTGGAGCAACACTATATTGGGCTGCTATGGTCAAATAATTTCTTAATACCAATCTAGGCCAAAGGCTCTGAGACCTACAGCAGACAATGTCTATTTAAACTAGTAAAATAGGTTCTTTCTGTCCTAAGGGAAGAGGTCATTATTTATACCTAGATCCAGGGTTCAGTCAAAACATTGTCCAACTCTTTTATCAAGAACAAACCTTAAAAACTCTGTTTTAAGGAAAATCCTATCAGTTTGTGCTGATATAATCTTACTGAAGTTCAGTTCAAATGAATACTGCATACTAAAACCTGTTAATTCTTGTATTTGAGATTCACCATTATTTCTAACAAAGGAGACCATACATTGCCTAGAAAGCGTGCACCTTCTGCCACTGATTTCAGTGACACCAAGGAAGAATATACTCAGTCACATCCTGGGGTAAGAAAATGGGGCCAGTACAAGGTAGGCCCTGATGCATGTGGCTCAGTGGGCAGGGGAAAGGAGCAATCTCAAAGGAGTATTTGATGCAAGGACTTGCCATAATCTGCCTCCAATGAGGAAGAAACTGTGTGGTTTTCCAAGGTCCTCAAGGGTTCCTGTACCTCCAAGTGACCACGAAGGTTTCACAGAATTGGTGAGAACCTTCCTAAAAAGAAAGAGCAACCTTAGCACTTCCACAGCATATGAAGGAAGACTATTGGTGTTGTGCTTGCCAATGAAAACTGGTAAAATCACAGTAATGGTAAGCCGTACAATCAAGAATGCTTAAACCAGCAGAAAATGCAGCCAAAAAAAGAAAAAAAGACAAGGTTGGAAAAGACTGAAGATTGAAAAGAAATCATGCTGGACTTAATCAGAAGGGACAAAGGAAGATTGGTCCCACCTGCCACTCCGTTACAAAGTAGACCTCATCAAAAAGGCAGGAAATGACTGGAGTACAAATTACAATTGCTGTGGTCTGTGTTACTTCAGGAGCAATAGCATACACATGATAATAAACCTGCACATCCTAGGAGCTTTACTTCTTTTGGCTAGACTGTAATTTCTCTTAAGCCACATCTACTTTTCTACTTTTAAAGTCTGCGTTTGTTGAAAAATTATACCATGCACGATATGGTACTTCCTGCATCTTATCATAAATACAGAATATAGCTATGGTGGCAGAACAAAAAGGGCTCACCCCCAATACTCTGAAGATGTCTTTTCAGATGCTTCCTATAATGTTTCCTCCTATTCTCGGAAAACATTTGATAGCCTTAAGACCCTTAATAATTATCCTGAAAAATTAGCTACCGGACAGATTTTTTTTTGTTTATTCAGAGTCAAGTCCCTAACTGTATATGAAAACATGTATTTCCTAGAAATGGATCTGTGTTGAAATCTCACATTCTTTTCAAAGGAGAAGAACATAAATATTTTTAGTGACTGCATAAGCAGTAGTATAACAAAATAAAGAATGCTAGTTCTGAAATTCTGAAAATTATGCTTAGAAGACACACAGCATTACAACACACATACATGCACACAAAATTATTTTGGGATAAACTGAATTTGATTTTTTAAAAACTGTACTTAATTTCAGATTCCTCACACACTTAGAAGTTCTACTTAGTATATTACAGTATTTTATACTTTTTTACCTTGCATTAAGTATCTAGTACTTTTTATCTTGCATTAATCCACAGTATCTAGTCCTGATTTAACAAGACTTAAATCTTAACATTCTCTGCAGTTGTGTTTGCTGTTTGCTGTTTCATTTTTAACCAATCTATTTGTTATATGAATTGCCGTTGTTAGATCTGTGATCACTTAGCTGATGAGAAACGGACTGTTCTCTCTGCATAAACAATAACCATAAATTTAACAGCATTTCTTTTCAAATTGGCAGATGGCAAGAAGGGTTTTTAATGTAATCATATTAGTATTAACCAAAGAAGATAAAACACATTTAGCCCAGATATAAATTTAATCTGTTTTAGTATAAATCAGGAGCAGTTCTTCAGAAGTAGACTGATATTTCTAAATCATACCAGCATTTTCAAAACCAGCATCTAGCCCTTCATTCTGCATGTAATGCTTCTAATGATTTCAACATTTTCTGTAAAAGAGTTACTACAAAACTGGATGAACCTTAGAGCAGAATAGGATTCTGATGTTTGATGTAAGAGGCAGTCTCAGGAGTAAATGTAACCTTACAGAATTCATCTAACCAAATACAGCACAAACAAGCAACTAGCCAAATACAGCAAAAGTACAGCCCACCGCATTTTCTTCCTCTGGAATAGTATTTTAACTTTCTGAAGTTTGAGTCTTATATACCTGTTTTTATTTCTCTGATAGCTAAATTTAAGAACCATGTGATACATATTTAGATAATACAGGGCCTTTTGGAGGCTTTTACTATCCTGGTTTGTCCTACCTTTTAGCTTATAGATGGAATTTTTTATACCCCTTAGTGTCACATATTCTTACATGTGCATTGAACACTATTCCCAAGTTCAGCACCATGGAATTACTGCAGTAGATGGAGATACAGCTTTTTTTTTTTTCCCCATCGTCTGCATCACTTACTGTTGCAGCTTGTTTCCCCGTGAGCATACATACAGTAATTTCCTTTGAGCTATCCTTACCAATACAGGGATTACAAAAAGATTTAGGAGTGTAGAATTCCATTTACTTTCCATATTTAGCACCCAGATCCAAAATTCAGCTCTTCAGAATTGTTGCTTATTTCATGTAATACCTAAGTCCTGGAGCCCCACCAATATGCACACAAGCATATTCAGTTTCTGCTTGAGTTTCCTAGGTGCCTAAACCTTTCTTTCTGAGCAGGGTTTCCTCTGTCCTGAATATTAACAGTTACACAACTAGTAATGGATAAATGAGTAACTGATTTGCCTATTCCACCTATTGCCCCATAAACATTCACGTGCAAAGTGGAACCTGCACAGAACAAAGCCGGTTACCACAGATGGTAATGATGACCTTTTTCTGCTCAGTGATGGGAGCTCTTTCCGATATAGAGACACAGACCTACTCCACTCTCTTATGTAAATAAAGCTGAACCTATCTAGCTCTTCTGAAAGCTAGGATCCTTTAACCACAAGTCTATCACTAAGAGGAGTATGGAAACCTACATCATGAGAAAATAATTTCCTTGTAGCAGATTTAGATAAAACTGGATTATGGTTGTTCTAATTTTCCTCTGCATTGTTTCAAATGTTAGAAATCCTTAGATTTTTTAGAAGTCATGGCGATTACAGGAGCTTTATTTACAGCGTTGAATGTATTTCTTCCTTTCCAGCTGTCACTGGCAAGAAGATTGAGGGTCTGCACACGGGTGTAAGAAAACAGTATTTTCCTCACACAGCTATTTAATTTCTAAGAAGCAAAAATGGTGAAAACCTTTCTGTAAAACTTTTTTGGTCTCGCTGACAGAATTTGTCATTGTGCAGACTAAGAAAGCAGCAACTACATACAAAATGAATGGCTCATAAGCCAATTGGAAGTTATTAGTGGCTTCCTATTCACGAATGAGCTGGAAGAGTAATTGGAAAGCACAGTAATAGGCATTTTAACTGACTTTTTTTGCTGTTGTAAATTTAATGTATTTTTCTTGTAAACTATATTTATGAATAGCATGAGAATAAGAACTAGAAACATCTATGACATATATG